GAGAGAGAGGGAAAGCAATTATACAGCTATATAATGAAAATATTTCAAATAAAACCTGTTTGGTTCTGCGCAAAAAACTCAGTCTCCTGGCGCAGGACAGCTCGAAAGACCTCTCCCTGCAAGTGGCTGTGCACATGGCCCGTGGTTCTGTTATAGATCCCATCACCCACGAACTCCAGCACGGCACTAGAAAGGAAGAGAGAGTCAGAGGAAGGTCAGAGTGTGCTGGGGGGGGAGGGGTGGGGCGGGGGGCGCAAGAAGGTCCCAATGTCCAACCCCCTCTTTCCTAGGGCTCCCCATTCTTAGCGCCCAGACCTGGCTATGGTAAGCACAGACATAAGAGTTATGTTTCGGGTGAAGCCAGAGGTGGTCTTATCCTGTTGAATCCAGTCAGTAAGGCGGCCAGTGAAGAATGGAATGGCCATCTCCCCTGGGAAGAGAGAGACACCACATCTGTCTGTCACATTGCCTGAGCAAGTCAGCTCTTGTCTGAACTGTCCCTGCCTACCCCCTCTTCCTTTGCCAATTTTCCTAGCAGGCAGTGACAGAAAGAATACACCGACTCCATGGTCTTAAACCTGTGCGGAAAGCCCGCCCATAATGGGGCATGGGCAGAGATCTTGGCGTCAAAAACCCTCTCTGAAGTGGTGGTGTGGCTCAAGTGGTGGAGCAATCGCCTATGAGCTGAAGAGCTCAGGGACAGCGCCCAAGCCCGGAGTTCAAGCCCCAAGACCGATGGAAAAACAAAACAAAACAAACAACAAAACACAACCGACCCTCTGTGTGATGGGCATGATTGGTCCCAGCAGCCCGGACCAGCCTTGATCCCCGACAGCTTCCCAGTCCCGGACTCCATCCCACTCTGAAGTGGTCTCAGGATCTAGGCCAGGCTGCCGTCCTCTGCTCCGCATTTCCTGGCTGAGCCAGGCCACCACGGGCCCCTCGCTCCGTCCCCTCTGCCCCTACCCGGACCCCTTGCGCCCTTACCAAGACAGGAGAGGACCAGCAGGGCCAGGACCAACGCGACGCGGCGGATCTCGGAGCCCAGGCAGCCGAGAAGCCGGCGCGCGGCAACTCCCGGGGGCGCCCACAGACTCCCCAGCTTGTGCCACAGGGCGGCCGCGGGCAGGGCGGCCGCGTAGCCCAGAAGGAAGGCGTCTGAGCGACTGCCCCAGTGCAGAG